AATAAAATGCCAGTGCCTTGAAGTTATGGCAACAGTTTGGCGGATTATGGGTTTTTTGTAACGCCCCCGGTTTGAAAATCGAGATATGGTGAACTAAAAGCGATGTCATCAGTCTGAGTATAGCAGTGGCGGCGCCTTCGTCTTGACGTCGCGCTTTGGTCCGTGGATAACTCCATGCGTGACCATCTTGGGTAAGTCAGTTAGGGTTATCAGGGTAGTTAAGTTTGTCACATTATTCTCTAAAAATTAGGATCGGTAAGATCAGGGACACTTAGTTCGTACAAGGCGGGAGTGCCTACTACTGTCAAGCAAGCGAAGCAGTAAGTCGGCCACATATGGATCGGTGAAGCAAAACCGGAAGTGTCAGATTGGTTTACTAGATAGCACTAGGATGTATGATAGACTGCTTTCAGATGCAGCAGGCAGCTAAAAGTGCTCGTTAATTTTTGCTACCGGAGTGAGGCGACAATAACGGATCCCCAAAATACCAGCGTTCCGTTTGGGATTGCAAGGGATCCCGATACGCATTGGACGCAAACCAGTATGATCGTATATGAATATTATGAAAATGAGGAAAGTGCACTTACTAAATGGTGTGCGCATAATGTCATAGCAATTTTTATAACTGCCAAAAAACTGGGTCGTAAGGGTTAAATAATGAATAGATGTTCCCCGAAAGTTGAAGTCAGTTACAGCGTAAACCATTTCACGGTTAGCCTGCGTAGAAATATATTTTACACTTGACGTCCCTCTGATAACAGTGAGTCTACTTGTTTCCAGTGTGAAAAGCATTACGAGACGTAACGCGCCATTTGTCTGGGATTCGAATTCTTCCAGTTCTAAATCTTCACATTGCAGTGGCACATTCGCTGCACAGTGCTATTAGCTGAAGAAAATTTACGGATGGATTAAAACGTTTTACGCCTTAATGATTCATTTTGTTGCATATATGCTCAAACCGAAAACCGTCCCATTCTAAGTTCATATTTTTGCAGCTCATGGAATTCCATTTCCACCGAAGCCATTGTGCCTCCAGTGGAATACTTTCCTAGCATCGCTGATACCTCGGAATGCCTGGATGTGGCTCGAGAGATTAGACTCGTACTCCGAACTTAGTTGCCTGTCTCCGTTGTGCGAGTGCCTAGCGCCATCTGTGATCATCGTGACTCCAGCCAATAACCCAACTCTCCGGGGTCATTCATGATTCACGTCAACCGGTCACACAAATAAACCAGTTATATCTAATGCCACACTGTTCTAGCTTTCGTGTTTTACAAAATCTTCGATTAGTTGTAACATGATAGGCCTGCCTCCTTGGTTTTGCTCCTCATCATGCTTTTTCCGCTAAGGTCAAACTGTAATATGCAGTCATGCCTCAATGGATATTCTCCCTACAAGTTCAGAAACGGACCTAGGATTACGAAGTGCTAGCTGCACAACGGTTAGAAGATATAAGATTTTCTTTCAGTAGTGCGTTGCAAGGCGATAAAGGGGTCAAGGTTCATCAAAAGCTGTTTCGGAGCAGCTCTGCAGCGCTTACTCGGGAAATGTGTGAGGAAGCTGGAGGAAAAGTCAAGATATCAGTTAGAAGCTACAGGGAACAGTAATATGCCGTCTATGGATAGCTTTCTGATATTACGAAAAGAAGTGCAAAGAAGCTACGATTAACGCCAAAAGTTGGGGTGGCCTAGAAGAAATGGTAATCTGAAGCGCACGGGGACAATGGGCCGGAGAAATACATGGGATGCATATTTGTGTTACACGCTTGCAAGATGGGGCAAGAGCAGAGCCCATTTGAAGCTCAGGGAAAAGAGTAGAGGATTTGGTTATCGATTGTGCCAGAGTATAAACGGAGTGTGCGAAGATCACACCATAACCCACGGGAACCGGCCGGAACTTACCAAACTTAGAGATAGTGAACAGGTTAATGCGTTAGTAAGCCAGCGAGAAGCTCAATGGATAATGAAGCAGCTAATCAGTGAAGACTCATCGTGCTGTAGAGTTCGGTTATGGTCAACCTTAGCCCCTCAAGTCCCCCTGAAGATAATCGATTCCTCATACGAACCCTTGAGCAACTCTCCTCCAACTACTACTTCACTCATCTGCCGGTAGGTGACTTCAACGCTCCAAAGGCCCCATGGATCGAGCCCCAGCGCACCGAATCAAGCGGACTTTCTGCAGTGGCGCTGATTGAGGTCGTTCAACAGAGTGCTCGAACTTAACACGTTGTTGCACCCACCAGATACCGCACAGGTCAACTACTATCCCTGCTGGGTCTGGTCATCATCAAAGAAAGACATTTCGTTGATCAGGTAACAATCAACACTCCACAAGCGTACAGCGACCATTGTGTGCTGACCTATGATTCTGTCTGCTATTGGGCCAGAAGTCCCGAACCTCGAACGTGGTTTCAAGACTTCTGCCGCGGAGACTTCTCAGGAATGCGCATCTTTCTAGAACAACTTGAAATGCGACCGGCTTCGGTGAGGAATTCTATAGGACCACTGTCCAGAAAGTTCACAAGGCTGGAGGAATGTTCGTCTCAAAAAAGCCAGCAGGCAGTCGGATGAGCCACAGGCTGCTAAAAAGTATGTGGCGTCCTGTGAAAAAGAGGTCCGAACTTTCTTCAAAAGTCGGCCACAGGGGATGCAGAAGATGAGCTGGAATTTCGTAAAATGCGGAACCGCTGTAAATCAGAAATCCTCCAATGGAACATACGAAAACAAGCCACCATTCTCGACCTCGCTTGAGAAAACGGAAACGTATTGTTCAAATATATGCGACGTCGCCGCAGAAACAAGCCATCCGCGTTCTCCTTTAGTGGCAAAAACGGAGAACCGACGAATGTTTCAACAGTGGTATCTGAGGTTTACAGGGAACACTATGCTTGTTTATACTCAGCCCCATCGTCCTCGTCACAACCACTCTTGTCGAGAGGGAACTAAAAACAGCCCCTAACCGACTTGTTCTTTACGGTGGAGGACATTCGTCAACTCTTGCACAAGATCAACCCATTCTGCGTGTTTGGGCCCGACGAGGTCCATCCAAGGATCCCGAAGGAAACGTCGTCTAAACTGGCAAATGATTTATACCTGGAGTTTCGTCAGTCGCTTGACGAAGGCCGTCTTCCCTCTGCCCAGGACGAAGTGATTGTCACGCCAATCTACAAAACTTGTGACCGATTATTGCCTGGCAGCTATAGGCCTATAAGCCTCACTAGCGTGCCGTGCAAGGTGATGGAACGCGTTCTGAAGCGATCTACCCTATATCACCTTACTTCCAACAACTTGATATTTCCAGCTCAACACGGATACCTCCCAAGCACTCCTTGTGTGGCAAACATGCTCGAGTTTATGCACAGCTTAACCAAAGCCAAGGATGAGGGACTCATATTGGGTGCCATATTTTTCAACTTCTCAAAAGCATTTGATAGGGTCCCACACGTCCCGCTGCTCCACAAACTCGAGTCTTACGGGATTCAAGGGAAAATCCTTCGCTGGATCAAGGCGTTCCTATCAGACAGGTCATTCCGAGTGAGAATAGGCTCAACCTATTCCTCTTCAGCGCCGGTCTCCCTTGGAGTTCCTCAAGGCTCCGTCTTGGGACCACTCCTGTTTCTGATCTACGTCAACGACCTCCCAGACG